TAAAGGAAAGTTGAGAAATTTATTAGATTCCAACCATTAATTTATCTCTGGAGTGATGGTGATCCCTAACAAAATCATAAAAATTGAGTTTAAAATACTAGATGAAACTGAAAAGTACATTTATAGTACCACAAAATTCTGATTAGTTTTGGAAATATGTTATCCAAAATTTAATAAGAAATCTTCATGCTCTCATAATTATCCCACGCCAAAAAACAAATGTGGAATTTCAAGTGAATTCCACAAACAAAGTTAATTTATTCCAGATTATAGCCTTAGTTGTACAAGGATATATCAATTTGCTTTAAACATTAAAGCTATGTTCAACCAGCAAGAGATTTAACAAAGTATTTCTTTGCTAAGAATATAAAATTGGAAGTATAAAGCCATTACTATAAGTTCAGAAAACGCTCAAAACATCAGTGGCAGAGTGACATAATATCTCCTTCACGGAGTACGCCGGGGGTTCTTAACTATGTACTAGCCTTCTCAGGCAAAAGGAAAGAGAAGAAAAAAGAAAACCTAGGAGTTTCAAGTCCAACAAAAACGGAAATGGAAATGGAAATGATAGAGAGCATGAAGTTTACCTAAGTCACAGTCAGCAGGATTGAGCACCGGACGCTTCTTCTCTGCATTGGGTATTTTAGAATCTTCGGGATTCACATTTGTCTTCTTGCCCGACGGTTCTGGTTGTTCGGGGTCTTTAGAGAGATAGTGTTTTCTAGATGCCATTGACAGGTGCGTTGCGAACAAGAAGGGGAGAGAAGAATGGAGCGAGCGCGAAGCAGCCAAGCTAGAGAGAGCGAATCTGAGAGCCGAAAGGACCAACCGACCTGACAAGGGGTTCCCGGGTTTCAATTCATTTGGAAATTAATGGGCCTCTTTCCTGAAGAAAAACAATGGGCTTGTTGGGTCAAAAGGAAGCATCAAGATTACTTTGTAAGAGGAAGGAGGCAGCAGATTCAAGCTTTATGTTTGGAAGTCCAAACACATGGAATTATTTCAGTAGAAGCAAGCCCTATAGTAAGCCTTTCAGTTTTTGATCACTGGAGAACCCAAACGACAGCGTTTTGGGAAGCATACTAATGATTTGGGCTGGATCCGATGGTTTTGGGCTGGGCTCGATGTTTGTATCTGGGCCCAGCTTTCGCCTGTTTAGGTTTTATGGGCTTGCGCTATGATAACAATAAAATTTT